GGGGGGGGGCATCCGCCACCTCCCTCAGACCTGTGATCGGGAGCCCCCAGGGGATGCGGCCTCTGCTCCTCCCTCAGATTTGCATTCATGTGTTCGGCAAACTTTTTCTGAGAAGCTCAGTCTGGGAAGTGAGGCCAGGGACAGTTTCCTGGACGAGGGGGCATCTGAGCTGAACTGTGAAGGACGTCAGAGCTGACCAGTGAAGGAAGGAGGGAAAGGGGAAGGGCAGAGGACACAGCCCGGGCAGAAAGACCTGGAAGTAAGGAATTTATGAAGCTAAGAAGAGTTCCATTTGGAAACTGCCAAGAAATGTATGTGGCCCGGAGGGGGCGCCTGGCTGGCTCAGTTGGAAGACCATGCGACTCTTGATCTCGGGGTCATGAGTCCGAACCCCACATGGGGTGTAAAATAAAGTCCTGGGGCGCCTGGGTGACTCCGTCGGTTGAGCGTCTGGCTCTTGATTTCCACTCGGGTCGTGATCTCACGGTTCTCACGGTTCATGAGATCGAGCCCCATCTCTGCGCTGACACCAGGGCGCCTGCTTGGGATTCTCCCTCTCCTTTTCTCTCTCTTCTCCTGCTCTCTCTCTCTCTCTCTCTCTCTCTCTCAAAAGGAATACATACACATTAAAAAAAAAAGAAAGTCTTTAGAAAAAGACTTTAGTCAAAATCATTCATTTAATTCGGTTTAAAGGCAGCGGGGTCCTGCTGCGGTCACAGCGGTGGCCAAGGGGGTTCCACTCTGTCCTCAGGGAGTCTTAGCACATCACGTGCTTCCGTTGCATGTTGACCTACAGATTCCCGGCCCTGAGGCAAAACAGAAGGAAGTAAAATCCTACCACAACCCCAGAAGAAGAGAAGGAGAATATCAGTGGCCGGTCCTCAAGATTCTAGAATTGAGCTTCTTTGATGGGAGTGCTTAGGGGTTCTTAGCACAGTCTATACATCTGTATTTTCTTTCTTTTTTTTAATGTGTTATTTATTTTTGAGAGAGTGTGAGCAGGGGAGGGGTGGGGGGGGGAACAGAAGATCAGAAGAAGGCTCTGTGTTGAAAGCAGAGAGCCCCATGCAGGGCTCGAACTCGAGCAACTTGAAATCCTGACCTGAGCCGAAGTCGGCTGCTCAAGGGACCGAGCCACCCGGGCGCCCCTCCAGATCTGTATTTCCCAACCTCAGTTGTTAACCTACTAGGCGTAAAACAGTGAGTCTCAAGCAGTCAATCGGGGCATGTGTAAAAATAATTATGGTTTCCCGGTATTTTAACTTAACTGTGGGCGCGCACCTGTTCACACACATACTGCGTTGCCGATAAAGTATGAATTCTGTTGTGCGTCGTGTGAGGTAAATTGGACACACTTGGAAAAAATTGTTTTTAATTTTTTTTAACGTTTATTTATGTTTGAGACAGAGACAGAGCATGAACGGGGGAGGATCAGAGAGAGGGAGACACAGAATCCGAAGCAGGCTCCAGGCCCTGAGCTGTCAGCACAGAGCCCGACGTGGGGCTTGAACTCACAGACCACGAGATCGTGACCTGAGCCGAAGTCAGCCGCTTAACCGACTGAGCCACCCAGGCGCCCCTGAAAATTTTTTTTAATGTTTTACTTATTTTTGAGAGAGAGAGAGAGAGAGAGAGACAGAGTGCAAGCAGGGGAGGGGCAGAGAGAGAGGGAGACACAGAATCCGAAGCAGGCTCCAGGCTCTGAGCCATCAGCAAAGAGCCTGACGCAGGGCTCGAACCCACGAACTGTGAGATCGTGACCTGAGCCGAAGTCAGACGCTCTACCGACTGAGCCACTCAGGCGCCCCAAGTCAGAAACACTTTGAAAAACACTGGTCTGCGGCCCCTACCCAATCGTCTCCCATCTTTTTCTCACACAAACGTCTCTTTGCTTTCAGCCAAGATTTTCTCATGCCAACCCAGGGATCCCCTGTGTCCTCCAGACCCCCAGCCTGGGTCACATGTCCCTCCAAGCTCCTCCAGTCCCTCGAGTCTCCCATCCCAGCCCTGCCCACTCTGGATGGTCACTGTCTGGGGATCGATCTGTCCCCTCCATTGGGCTGGAGGGTGGGGGTGTCTTCACCGCCGAGTCCCCAACATTGCCCTGCACAGGGCCGGGGCGCACAGTAGGGGCTCTGGGAATGTGGTCTGACTCTTTCAGAAACGGGAAGGAAAGGAAGGAGGCAGGACACTTGGGTACATCGGAGCCAAAAGACTCGGGGCCTTCAGGCATCCAGGCCTGTCTGGGAAGCCGCGGCCTGGGACCCTGGAGACTCGCCCAGACCTTCCCTTCCTACCTTTCTAGTTATTTATTTAAGAGCCGGCTTGTCTGGGCTGCTCTGCCCCGCCCCCGCCCAGCTGCAGGCTGTCAGGTCTCTGCGGCTTGTGGTGCAACAGTAACTCTCGGGTTTCTGGGCCTTAAGGCCCACAGAGAGGGTGCTGCCCTCCTAACTTCTCCCCACACCCAGTTAAGGTCCTGGGAGCTGGTTCCCAGGCCAGCTGCCCCCTACCACCACTCCCGGGCCTGCCCCGGGACCCCACCGCTGCCTCAGAGCTTGGGTGACCTGGATGGAAAGACACTGGATGCTTTCAGGGAGTCAGGATAGGATAATGGTCAAGGGTGTGGGGTCAAGGGTACGGGGTAGCGACAGGGGCCCTCCCGCTTCTTAGCTGACCTTGGGCGAGGGATTCTACCTCTGAGCCTCATGTCCTCAGCTCTGAAGCAAGATGAAAGTCGTATTTACCCCCAGGGTGTCAGGAGAATTAAATAAAACCAGGTGGCTGCAAAAGATAGGCCTTGGCCATGTGATAAGAGGTCAGTATATGGTACATTAGTCTATCAGTATATCAGATTATTAGCTTTTCCCTTTAGAGATCCCTGGTCAGACGTTCACCAAGCCATACCCCCCCGGGGGCGGGGGGCGTCTGAGGCGAATCCAAAGGAACATGGCCTTGGGGCATCTGGGTGGCTCATTTGGTTGGGCGGCCGACTTCGGCTCAGGTCA